GAGATTAGCTAATCCAATAAAGTATTTACATGACACAAAGATACTTAGAGTTAATTTAGACAAAGTGCTGTATTTTGGAGACAAGGGAGGTAAGGCCCAGAAAATGGGGGTCACATGTCCAAAGTCAGAGTTCACAGAAGTAACTCACAACCAGGACTACTGCACTCCAGTCTAGCTGTATTTGCAGGAAAGCACAATTCAAGTCATCTTAGGCTTGATGGAGTTTGGACATAGGTAGTATCTATATAAACATTAACTCTTCAAAAACAACTTGGAAATGGTCAGTCCAGGTAGCTCCACATTGTCATCGACTCACTAGGCCTCTTTTATCTTTCTGTTATACCACTCCTAACATATTCTCAAAGTCACACAGGATTATAGAATGGTCACTGCCATTCATTTTACTTATAGTCTCCTAGACCAAGGCTTTAACCCCCAGTGGAAACTCCACAGGTGAGAACTTCAGATTCCTATGGCAAATAGGACAGACCCATGTCAATCTAAACAAACAAAAAATCACATATACACACTAGAGAAAATTATCTGAAATATATTGTGTTTACTCAGGAATAGAAATAGGATTATAATCCAGACTGCATGAAATAACAAGGCCATCTGTGAATTTAAGGTTGAAGGGGAACTTTTATTTGCAAAAAGGAATTTACATAAGCTGCTTAGAAACAGAGTTAATTGGTTCTAAAGATTCAAAGCCAGACTTGTCGGTTCGCTGGTGGAGATGCCATTACTGGGCAAGTGCTGTTCTGAGAACATCTTACCTGAATAACTTTGCAGTCCTGAGCCTGTGTAGTAATAAACCTTATCAAAGGAGGAGATGTGTGATGGACATGAGTTTTTAGGAAGTCCTTGGAAACAGTTCTTAACTCAGACTTGTAAGCATGAGCCTCTTTTCCTTTGGGCTTTCACAACTCTGTTTTGTCCAGGTCTGACAAATGGGGTTTCATCCTGGTATTGGTATCTTTTATAAAAGTTTTTAAAAAACAGGTTGGGGTGTGTTCCAATACCTGAAGTTGTAGTAGAGGAGGGTGGTCTTTTACCCTGGAAAAATCCCCCTCCTCTGAGGGGCATCAGAATGCCCAACTGCCGATTTACATTTCTCAGTCCTATTGCAGATGGGAGGAGGGAGGTTGTGAGATGTATCAGAGAGTCACTTGGTGAGGGGAAAACACTTACACAGCTGTACAGCAATGTTTCTCTTTTGCTCATTCATTCTGATCCCTCAATGACAGTTCTCTAATCCTGTGTGACTTTGAGAATTTGTTAAGAGTGGTATAACAAAGATAAAAGAGGCCTGGAATGTTGATGACAATGTGGAGGCACCTGGACTGTCCATCTTTGTACTATGGGTGAAAAAGAAGCTGGCACCTTGTGCAAGCCCTATTGTTTCATGGCTTTGCTGCAAGCAGCTGAATACAGTTTCCACCTGGCCTAGTCACATTTCAGGAGCACGTTGGTTTTCTCATTCTTTTCTCCAGCATCCCACCTCTACTCTGGTAGTCCTTTAGATAAATGCTCATATCTCTATCATTCAAAAAAAAATGAAAAAAAAAAAAAAAAAAAACCTCAAAACTTTCCTTATGCCAAAAATCCTTTCCTTATACCAAATCTGATTTTAGAAATCTCCGAATTCCTTATAGCTCTCGAGAGCCACTTTTGCTCCCCAAAATTGTATACTATTATATACTGAATTCTGTCCACTTTCCCATCTCCCATTCCTTTTTTAAAAATGTGCCCATTTCTTTAGCAAGTTAGGTATAAAACAAAGCTGTTATTTTTGAATGGCTAATATATGTATTTTGTAGAAAATTCAAAAAGTTAAAATATAGCCCTGTTCCCATCTGTGTCTCCCCATCCAGTTTCCTTCCATGGAGTCAACTAAATTACTAGTTATTTTTGTGTATATATTCTTTCAGAGTTACATGGCAATGAAAGCATACACATAAGTGTTTTACTTCCTAAAAATATTTTTTTCACATGACAGCATACTATACACACTATTCTATACTTAGGTTTTTCACTTATACATCTTGGAGATTGTTTCAGAGTTGACTCTTTTTTTTAAAAAAAAAAAACAACCGTAGAGCATTACATCATCTAAGGGGCCAGAATTTGGTGATTTAATGAATCTTATATAGATGGACATTTAGATAATTGCAGATCTTTTTATTGCTAACAAGACTATAATAGATGTCCCCATGAATATTTTCCTAACACACATAGTGTTAGGAATAAATTCTACAGTGACCTGGTTTTAGTTTTGATAACTGTTGCCTAAATGTCCTCCCAGAGGTTTTATAAGGATGTGAAATTAAAGTTTATGTTATATATTTAATTCGCTGTTTCTTTAGAATTTATTGAATGACTTTGTTTTTGAAATGAAAAAATTGTGGTATTGATTGCCCCTTCTTCCCTACCACTCCCAACCACTAGTTTTTTTGTTGATTATATTTATATTTTGTTTTATCATTTTATACCTTTAAGTATACTTCTGCCTTCATTATTTGTCCTATAAACTAACTGGTGTATATTAGAACTTGATTATAAAAGATGAAGACGTCTGCCTACATTATGAACTCCCACTTCCTTATCCTTCTTTTCCAACTTTTGCTGGATTGATTCCATTTACAACCTGTCCTGTAACCACAACCCTAACACTTAATCTTAGTCTGATGCTTTAAAAAAAATCAACATCCATAGTTGGTTCTTTTCTGGTAGATTTTGCTTCCTTACTTAAGTAAAATTTGTATTAATTAGTTTCTATCAAGAAGAGCTCCTGGAAACTACATTTTCAATTACATTTATTTTCAAATGATAGGAAGTTAAAATATTTTGGGATTTTTGTTTTCTTTTCCTTGAAAACCCAAGTACTTTTCCACTGTTTTCTGGCACTGAAGGTTGCTGTGAAGTCTGAGGTTGGCCTGCTTACTTTTTAACTTTCTCTAAAAGGTAGCTTGATCTTTTTGTCTGAATGGCTACTTTCTTCTCATTCCAATAGCTTCACTAGGTAGGGTATCTCTTGGTGTACAGCCTTTTGTGTTAATTCCCCTGTGAAAATATGTCCTTTCATGTCTGTAGATTCAAGCTTTTTTTTTTCTGGCAAGGTTTCTTGAGTTATATCTGTAAATATTTTCATGATCTACCATTTCAGTTCTTCTCTTTGGGATGCTCATTGTGCATATTTAGATGTGCTTATATGCTTTTTATGTCTGCTATTTTTCTATATTAATTTTTAACTATTTTTCTTTGTTTTACTTTTTTTTTGCCCTGTACTTTATGATTTTCACTGTTTTCACAGTGTCTATTTTCCTTCTTGGTCTCTTATCAATGTCCCAATTTTTCTGTGATCATAACTGTGAAGGTTTTATTTTTCTCTCTGCAAGCTAATGTTGTATTTCCTTCTCTCACAGCTTCCCTGGGCTTTTATGTCCCCACTTTGAACTACCGCCTTTTACCAGCTCTGTGAACTGGTAATTTTTTAGTGCCTTAGTTATTTTTCTCAGAATGGGGATAGTAATCTTTCTACTTGATAGAGATGCAGTGAGGACAAATGAGTTAACTTATTTAAAGCACCTAGAATAGTGTCTTATACATGGGAAGCCCCTTGTAAGGACTTGCTATTATTATATTTGTGGTTTTAGAAAGGCAGCTCATTTAAGACCTTTTATTTTTTGATTCAGAGAAATCTGGTCCTAGTTTGTATTCACTCATTTTTCTATTGGGTTTTTTTTTTTTTCCTGGCTGCCTTTTGTTTTCCAATCTAACAACTGGTTATTTGAAAACAACATACCTATATGCAATAAAGTATGTGCATCACTAAGTGACCTAATCAAGGAAAAATGCGAGTGAATGTTAAAATGGAATACGAGGAAATAGCTGGAGATGTAAAAGAAACTGAAGACTCGGAAAAATATACTTGGCAGAACTGTATGCAAATGCATTTGAAAGAATCTGCAGATCAGAGAATTATCTGAAAATATATTTTATCTAAATGCAGGTAGAAAGGGAGTAAAACTCCAAATAGATGGATAATCATAGAGGAAATTGATGAAATCAGGCCTCAAATGATTTTACAGGTATTTTTAAACCTTCAGGGTTTGCTCCTTGTCTATCTTTTTAATGACATACAGAAGAAAGAAAAATCCTCAATTTTTTTCATATTTTAATAGGACCAGCATCACTTTGAAATCTAAAGTTGAAAATAACACACACTTTCACTCACACACATATACATAAACCTTTTGGACACAGTAGCAACTGTAGGTGCCACCATCACCACTATCACAAAACCTTTTAAACTACAGAATGTGCTTAAGTATGGAATTAATCATGTATTAAAAGAATAAAGCAGCACCAATGATGGAATTTATTTCAGGAATACAGTAACTCTTTACTATTAGAAGTTATGTTAATAAAATTCAGCATATTAATAAGATAAAATCATATCATCACTTCAATAGTGTCTCGAAAAAGCATTTGATAGGACAACTTCTATATTGTCTAAAACTTGTATGAATATTTGTATATTTCTTCCTGGGGTGTTTGTGTGATAGATTTAGTGGTAGTTACATATAACATACCTGTATAAATATCTTATATAACATATAAATACATATATCCACATGTGTGTGTAGATCTAAGAGAAGCCATTATGCTTAATGGCAAACACTTAGGTAATGTTCTAGTGACAGGTAAAGTCTGCTTTCATCACTTCTGTAACTTTATATCTCCTAATGCAGTGGAAGTATTTTATAATTATTATTGTTATACTTTAAGTTCTGGGATACATGTGCAGAATGTGCAAATTTGTTACGTAGGTATACAGGTGCCATGGTGGTTTGCTGCATCCATCAACCCGTCATCTACATTAGGTGTTTCTCCTAATACTAGGAATTAGTAGCTGATACAGCTGAACAAGAGAGAAGTAAGTAAACATGTTAGAAAGTAAAGTTGAAAGCATAATACGTAAGTAATGTGACATCATATGTAAGTAATGCATTTTAATAATTGAAGAGCATCAACTGGAAATCTATTAGAAACAAGAAAAATAACAGTGCTAGTTACAAATATATGCACACATCCACACAAAAACATATGTACACAAAATTGCAACAAAACACCGAAGAATAGGTTGAACAAGAAATATGTAAGTTTAAATAAAGAACTTTATCGATTAAGTAACTGAAAAATATACCTTGTTCTTAGAGATGATTGAATAGTATTTAAGTTGTAAAAAAGGTAATTCTCAATTTTATTTATAAGTGAAATGAGCTCTCAGCTGAAAAGAACCTTAAGATTAAAAAAACAAACATGAGATTCTGGGCATGGTAGCTCAGACCTGTAATCCCAAGCAGTTTGGGAGGCCGAGAAGGATGGATCACCTGAGGTCAGGAGTTTGAGACCAGCCTGGCCAACATGGTAAAACCCTGTCTCTCCTAAAACTACAAAAATTATCTGGGCAGGATAGCACGTGCCTGTAATCCCAGCTGGAAGCTGAGGCAGGAGAATTGCTTGAGCCTGGGAGGCAGAAGTTGCAGTAGAGATCGTGCCACTGCACTGCAGCCTGGGTAACAAATAGAGACTCCACCTAAAAGAAACAAAAAACAAAAACACCAAACATGAGAAAATTATAAAAATTATATAAATCTTACTTTGAAAAATTAAATGTAATACTAGCCATAAAATCACCTCAAGGAAAATGAGGGACTCACAGAAATCATTAAATGCTAAATTAATTAAAATTTTGTTTTTATACTGCAAAAGGAATAGACATATGAGTCTAACAAAATTAGATATTCCAGAGGTAGAACCAAGCATACGAATCTAATTTATGATAGTATCTTAATCAATAAGTAACTAGGGATTTCTTCTACTTCTATTCCACCAGTTCACTCTGTGCTTGTCCATATTATATTTCACTTTATTTTTTTCCTCTTTTTCCTCTTACTCATTTTGTTGTATGTTGTGGTCATTGCTTTTCAAAGCAATACTCTAACACTGAATTAAATTCCTTCAGCAAAAGTCTTAATGCATATTTTACTTTGTCTCATTATTAAAGAACTGATGTTTTCTACTACACAGCCGCTGAAGTAAGTAGGAGAGAGAGACTAGTACTAATTGAAAGCTAGGGAACCAGCCTCACTTCTGGAAGATGAGATGACTGGTCAGATAGTTGAAATGCTCTTTGGCTTTGAATGTGATCCCATCTCTTTAACAAAGGCATACTGTAACCTACATGTGACAGTTCTTATAGTAGAGGAGGTTGGGAAATAGAGAGCCTGGCACAGTGTGAAAATGAAAACCACAGATGTACACAGTTACTTTTACTTCTAAAATTTCAAAGTTGATTATTTGAAGTTTTTCTTCTTGAGAATCATTTCTAGAAATAAGGGAACACTGACTCAGAAAAATCGCTCTTATTTTTGTTTTGAGGACAATTTGTCATTACATTAGGCTACTCATAACTGCTATTCATAAATTTTATATGAAATCTCATAATGCAGCTTTATGTTAATTTATTCACTACTTATATAATAAAATTGCTAGAATAATTATCCAACTCATATTTTATTAATGCTTAATTAAAGATATAGCTTAAGTAATTGTGGCACATTATAGTACTAGTGAACCAGAAACTTATAATAAACAGTACAATCACAGAATATTACTAGGTAAACGGCTTTAGTTTTATGGATCTTTTTATTATTTTTGAATGCCTTTGGGATCCTTATTAACCTCCCTTCCTCCCTCCCTCCCTTCCTTCCTCCCTCCCGTCCCCTCTCTCTCTTTCTCTCTCTCTCTTTCTTCTTTTCTCACTGTCACCCAAGCTAGAGTGCAATAGCATGATCTCTGCCCAATGCAACCTCTGCCTCCCGAGTTCAAGCAATTCTCCTGCCTCAGCCTTCTAAGTACCTGGGAATACAGATACCCGCCACTACACCCAGCTAATTTTTTGTAGAGGAGTTTCGCCACATTGGCCAGGCTGGTCTCGAACTCCTGACCTCAGGTGATCCACCTGCCTCGACCTCCGGAAGTTCTGAGATTACAGGTGTGAGCCACCATGCCAGGCTCCTTATCAACCTGTCTATATAAATTTCAGTATATTCATAAAAGTGGCTTTCATGGACAGCCTAAAAATAGGTGTCCACATGGCCTTTGGGTTTTCCTTCATAAATCCAATGGTTAGATCTTATGTCAATAGTGGTTTAGAAATAAATTGAGTGAAAGATTGGCAAAAAGTTATAAATTGAATAACCACAAGGGCTTAGGTTTAGTGGCCCCAGGAGGCATTGTGACTTATTGAATTATAACCTTAAGCAGAATTAAATGGCAGCTTCTTTTGTATTTTCCTGCCAGTCAAAAACCTGAGACTGTAGTTCACACTGCAGCCCAGAACACAGTGATTGCTTGCAATGTGATTGTGTATTTTTAAACCATAACAGGTCTCACGCACTGTGTGGTAACAAAGTAAAATATTTAAAAAATTACATAGACAGTGGTGATAAAAGTTTATTGTTCTAGGTTTATCCAGGTAGTTGCCTTATTTATATTTTACTTTGACTTGCATAAGCCAACAAATTCTTTAGGAAAATAAATGGATCAAATAATAAACCAACAGCAAAATCAAATGTATTAGCTAAATAATTACAAATTAGACCTGACTCTACAATTTTGCCTAAAGAAAACTATTACATAGAAAGTTATTGTCGCTGACCTGGCATGTCAGAGCATGGAATAGCTTTCTTCATCTGAAATTCAATATTTGAACTTTGGGAAGGACTAAATCTTAGTTTAATTCCTCTCTTGAAGTGGGAAGGTTGTCTCCCTTTGAAATCTGGGAATGAGGGAGAAATAAATTCAGACTAGAAGTAGCTCACATGGAGCCCTTCAGGATGTGTTCTACCCCATTCAGTTCCAGTTGGCAACACACAAGGAGATCATGCAAAAACAGAAAAGAGTTTCCAAATGAAAGCTGTTCAGAAAAGCAAGATACCTGTGTCTGACTCGGCAACTCATCATGCCCTGATCATTTACAGTATTGATGTTGATTTACACAGGGTGTGACCTATGTGCCTGCAGATGAAAGATGACGCGTGGTTTACATTAGTTGACATTGAACAAGCTGCATATGGCTGGCTCAGGATCCGTGGTATCATCTTTGTTAGGACCTCTTAGCAACTCTTTCACCTAATTAGCACAGCACTTCACCGTTTTATTCACAGCTGTAAGGTTCACTGTAAACTTCTTTTGTTATCTCTTTATCCCTCTAGCTTCTTTTTCCCCCAACAAGTTAATTATGTTTACTGAAAACTTAGGATATGGTAGAAAATGATACACAGTCAAATATAGCCTTGCCACCCTCAGGAACTGTCCTAAAAGCAGGAGACCAAATACAGATGGGCCAAAGGGAAAAAAAGTTTCACAAAACAGATTCTTCAGAGTTACCTGGACCTTTTTAGACATTTTTGGGAAGAGATGGGTTATACCGAGGTCACCAGGACCTTAACCTAGAGAACTCCTGTATTTCTTGCGTATTTCTAAAACTACTCTAGTCATCCCAGAAATTCCTAAAGTAAGAGTCACAGGCTGAAAAACAGGGCTGCAGGTCGTTCCGTGTGTGTGTGTGTTTTAACTGAAACTTTTATTAAGATGATTGTAGATCTACATGAAATTGTAGGAATAATAAACATGAGAGACCTCCTGTATCTTTTCTCTGGTTCTGCCCAGTGGTGACATTTTCCAACTACAGAACAGCATCACAACTAGGATATTGGACTTGGTCCAATCCATGAATCTTATTCAGATTATTTCAGTTTAGCTTGTACTCATTTGTGTGTGCATGTGTTGGGGAGTGCTATATAGTTCTGTACAACTTTATCACATGTGGATACATGTATCCATCAAGATGTTGAGCAGTTGGATCACTACAAGGATCTCTTTGCACATCTACCTCCCTTTAAGCTCCTTCCCCCAAGTCCTTGCAACCACAGTCTGTTGGACCGTTTCTAAAATTCTGTTTCAAAAATGTTATAAATGGAATAGAATCATGTGGTATGTAACTTTTGGGGATTGGCTTTTTCTTTTTTTAACTGTCTACTCATTGCAGTTTACTAGAGATTCATCGAAGTGTCACCCAGCTGCTAATTGTTAGAAGGGCTTCTGATAGAAACTTGTTATGAGTAGCCTGGATTTGCCTGGTGTTTTTCCTGGGGCTCCGGAGGAGTTGAGAAGAATGGGCTTATCTGGGCTGGCTCATGTCTCTATGTCAAGGATGGAAATGTCTGGTTGGCCTTCTTCTGTTAGGAGAGGGGAAATAACATGCCTGGCTGCTGAGTTGTTCTTCCATTCTTGGAGTCCCAAGTTAGTGTCTTCTTACCATCTTTTAGACATTTTCTTTGATCACCTTCTGCATCATTTCTAGGGTTTATCATGGTACTAAGTTGGGGAGAGCAGGGTGAAATGGGTCTATACCAGCTTGTCCAGAGCAGAAGTCCTTATGGTGGTTTGTATATTCCTGTTTATTCATCTACCTCTCTGAGCTCCACATAAACACACATTTTCCCTCTTCTTTAAGAGATAACATATTTGCCCTATATGTGTTTGTAACTTTTGAAGGAAACTTGGATCCAATCTGGTTTTCTCTCAGGCCTGTGTTGGAGCTTGAATACATGATTTAGGTTGCTTTGGGCTCTATATATACAAGACTCAACTCAAATGGACTGAAACAATGAAGCAGGTTGAAGGTAAAGGGGTTAGAGGTTTATTTGAGCTCCATCTCAGGGTCTCAGAAATTCTCTTGGGTTTTGTTCATGGTGGCAAGATGAATACTGCAGCTTCAAATATTATTGTCATCTACAATGTCTGAAATTAGAGAGGTACAGGTCCCTGTTTTTTGCCCTTGAAGGTGGATTTTCCTTTAAGCCCTCCAATAGATTGACCCTTTGTTTCACTGGCTAGGGATACATCACACAGAAGCTTGCTGACACTGGAAATGGAATTACTCTAATTATTGTTTCAGAGCAATTAACATTCACTTACTCCATGGCTTGAGACATATCCCATAAAGCACATGGGTATTTAATTTTTGAACAATATCACGTTTATTTGGAAGCAAGTGGATGGTAGTGGCAATAGTTAAGTCACACTAGGCTAATCTACTCTTGTTAATTGCTTTATTTTAATCAAAAAATCATAATCAAGTTGTGGAAATATAAACTGAAAGAAATAGAATGGAATTTAGGACCAAGCAGGATAGGCTACTGAGACAAATGGATTCAGCTACAGAATTGGGTCCTTAAGCTGCACATTGTTTCTAAGATGGGAACGTGTTTTAAGCCTCATGGTCAATGTTTCAAATCAAGGCTTCAGTCATAATTGATAACTGAATTAGCAAGGTAGTGGGACAGCCTAGGAAAGTAGAAACAATGACCCAGTGGTCAGATAAGAAACCAGATTTCACCCAACTCATATTAGGCCACAGGGGCCAGAAGGGGCTGATAGACTGTTTTCATCTAATATGGATTGTTTTGGAAACTAGACCATCTGAGTCACTAGACATAGGACATCAGTAACGCTTATGGGAAGGAT